GCTCGAACCCCCGCTATAACGTATAAGCCATCCCGATCCCCCGCAAGCGGAGCCGGAGCCGGAGGGATGGGTACGGTTGGCCCGCCCCACTCTCCGGAACCCACACGAGCGGGCGTACGAATGCGAGCGCGGCTCGCACTCGCGACACGCAGGCGTCCGGCGGGGGGTTAGGGGCAAACCTTGGAGCACTTTGGAGTGCACAGGCAACAGCACAGTTGACCTCACACCCACCACCCACCCAGCGGGCCGGATGATCGGCATCGGGCTGCGGGCTAGAGAGCCCTGACCCTTCGGGGGTGCGCGTTCGCAGGGTCGTAAAGATAACACGGGTTCGAGGGTGAACCACAGTCTGCCTCACACAGGGCGCCGCCACCGCTGCGCGGGGCCGCCGCCGGCGCTGCTGCCGTGAACAATGCCGCCGTGTATGGCGCGGGGCTCGTCTTCGAAAAGTGTCGGGCATGGCTCTACCCGCAACTTTCTCGCTAACACGCGCGCACCGCCGAGCCTGCGGCGGGCGCGCTGCGGCCGCACGTCTAACTTTGTCATAGTGCCACGACGTGCGGCCTAGATTTAGCCCACGCGCCTCTGCTCGCAAACACTCACCCATTGAATTGTCACTGTCCGTGAGTGCGAGATAGGGCTAGCAGTACAGGCCGCTAGCCCGTGAAGAGAGCGTCCATAGACACCTCACATGTTGACCCCACGCACACGGTCTCGTCCGTGCCTTGCGGGTGGCGGCGAGATTGCTAGAGGCGGAGCAAGCCTGCTCTAGCCTCGCATGTTACTTCCTGTCGTCTGTTGTGTCGTTGTGCCCTTGTTTGTACTCTTGGCACCGTGGGTGCTGGGGGGGGCGAGAGGGAGGATGTGGCCTTGAGTTATGTGGACGCCAACTCAGGGTGTGTGGCAGCCAGCTGGCTGTGTGTCTTGTGAGCTTGTTTGTGTCTGTGTGTCGCTCGTGCGTGCCGTCATCATCTGTCTCGCGTCCACCCATAACGCGTTGGTGTCCTCTGTCCAGTCCGAGCCTGGGGCTGTTCTTCACACAAAAACACAACCCCGGCCCCAAGACGCACAAGCGCTCAGACAGTCGAGAAAGGGATAGACAGCATCGACAGTCAGAACCGCAAGTCAGCGCTGGGTCCCAGGGCGAATGCGATGACGGCCTCTAGTGTGAGCTCTCTAGCTAGTGAGCTCATCTCGCTACTATATGCAGCGAGTTAGCTTCCTGTTCTTTACCTTTCTAAAGCCGTACCAACCTAACCCGTGAAGCTCTGTGAAGGTCGTCGGGGCTGCGTCGGGGGACGGGGCATGGGAGTCAACCACACTGTGCGACCCATGTGCACATGCACACATGCACATGAACATGAACATGAACATGAACACATGACATGCACATGCAACATGGCTAGTTCCATTTCACTCTGACACGCTAATCTTGAAAACGTCCAACGGAGCTCCGTGTTGCTCCCAGCGCCCTCCCCCGCGCTTCCTGCGGCCATGGCCGATGATACTAGTATGAGAGGTCATCTGGCTACCGCGAGCGCGACTCAACTCGCCGACGTCGTCCGATGATTGTGCCTCAAAGTCAGCCTCCGGAGGCTATCGTGGGGTCGAGCCGGCAGTAGCCGTGACATGTGGTTCCACCACCCCTCGTATGCTTTGCCTCTGACCGCCACCGTTCCCAGGCTGCCAAATGGGATGGAAAGGAAGGCTCGGCGAGCGTATAGATGCGTGCTCGACCTCGTCGTGTCAACTTGCACGGCTGCGCTGGTAGGCGCGATGAGCGTCGTGCCACCTGACCCGAGACGGGTCGCAGGCGTCGTACCGAGCGCGTCGAGACCGTGTCCTGATGTGATCTGCACGGGTGAGTCACGTCGGCGTCAAAGGAGCGACGTGCGACCTGTCAGAGCTTGATCTCCGATCTCAGCGGCGTCGAGTCGTCTCCGGCGCGCGACAAAGGTACATCCCCAGGACGCGCAGAGGCAGCTGCGACCCAGGCGAGTGGACGGAGTGGCAGCGCGCCGCCTGCTGGGTGACGCCGTCTACTCGGCGGGGTCGCAGCTGCCTCTGGAAGGCACCGAGATGTACCTTTTTCGCGCAATGGTCAAAATCAAGGTTTTGTAACGCGAGCTGTGCCACAGTGAAATGGAACTAGCCGAAACACCGCTTGAGCACTTGAGCACTTGCGACTTGGAGTCGGCAGTCGGTAACCCGCAGGGCCTCACACCCACAGGGCCGGGGAGCTAAGAACTGTGATTCTGTGTGAGCTCCGGTGTCCTGATCTGCTAACAACATACCAACCTGTTTTTTTGCTGCACTAACCGTGCCGATCGGCATCGGTGGCCCTCTGGCGCTTCTTACTCGAGTGTCGAGTCAGGTATAAAAGGCTACCAGGCTAGCATGTGTAGCAAGACCAAGTAAAGTGCCCATGGCACACACATGATGCCGTATAGCGTGGGCCGAGCATGTCATGTTTTTTCGTGCACATGCACATGCATGAATGTGCATGAACATGTCGCATGTGCAGCAGATCATGAGAGATCGAGAAATTACTCATGCATTACACCTAACGGAACCAAAACGACCGGTAATTGTGCGCCGCCCTGGCGCCGCCGCGATACACGATAGACGCGGCATGCACTGCGGAATGGCCCGCGCACAAGCCACAACCGGCGGTTTCGCGTGTGCGGGCCGTTTACACGGCGGAGGTGAGCCCCAGCTCACGCAGCGGCGGGAAGGGCGCCCCCTTGGAGACGACGAGCTTGCCGTGCGCGTGCGAGATGTAGCCCTTGATGTAGCCGCAGTAGATGAGGTTGGCGAGGATGCACTCGATCTCGTCGACCTCCATCTCGGTGTTGGTCGCCTTGAGGCAAGCCTGGAAGCGCTTGATGTCGAGCTTGGTCGACTTGTCGGGGTGGAGCAGCGCGACGCGGCGGAAGAAGTTGCGGTACACGATCAGCTTGGAGCGCTCGACGAGCAGGTACGAGCCGTGCCTAGACACTTCCGAGACACCTCCGAGACACTTCCGAGACACCTCCTCCTGCAGGTATGAGCCGTGCCGGATGAAGCGCTGCTGGTGCGTCGCGAGCTGCTCCTCGAACGCGTTGAGGTCGCCTGCGCCGCGGCCGAGAGGGGCTGGCGGGGCGGGTGCGGGTGCGGGTCTGGGGGAGGGTCTGGGAGCGAGTCTTGGATGCGTGTCTTGGATGTGTCTGGGGAGGGTCTGGGATGTGTCTAGGATGTGTCTGGGATGTGTCTGGGGAGGGTCTGGGATGTGTCTGGGGAGGGTATCCGCCTATGGGGAGTGTGTCGAGTGGCGTGTGGGGAGTGTGTGAGGAGTGTGTGGGGAGTGTGCGGGGGAGTGAGTGGGGAGTGCGCGGGGGAGTGTGTGGGGAGTGTGCGGGGAGTGTGCGGCCTCGGTGCACGGCGCGGCAGAGCGGGACGAAGTAGTCGAGCCCGTACTTGCGCAGCAGCGCCTGGGTTAGGCCCAGGATTAGGGTTAGGGTTAGGGTTAGGTCGAGCCCGAACTTGCGCAGCAGCGCCTGGGGAGGGGGGCACGCCGCCGCCGCAGCCTCGGGCACGAAGTCTCATCGGCGATCTCGGCTCCCTCCCGGCTCTCTCTCGACTCCGTCTTGGCTCCGTCCCGGCTTTCTCTCGGCTGTCTCTCGGCTTTGCCTCTCGGCTCTCTCTCGGCTCTCTCTCGGCTGTCTCTCGGCTCTCTCGGCTCCCTCTCGGCTGTCTCTCGGCTGTCTCTCGGCTTTCTCTCTCGGCCTCGGACGCGAACACGCCGAGCGCGAGCCGCACGGGCACGAGGTAGCGGAGCACAAGCCTGTGGAGACGCACGTTGTGAGTCGCGGCTAGACCTCGCCTACCTCGTAGCAACGGGCGGCACACACGCGCCGCTTGTTGCCAGTCGCAGCGCGCGGGCAGCGCTCGAAGGCCCAGGAGAGCTGCCTAGGGTTAGAGCCAGGCGCGCAAGCCTGTTCCCTCGCCGGCTCCTCCGTCGCCCAGCCGCTGCGGGAAGGGAGTGGCTCCTCTCCGCGGCGCCTAGAAGATGACACAGCTACCGCGCGTCACAAGAAGGGGGCGTGCTGGCCGGGCTTGCGGCCTCCTCTTCACGACTCACCAAAGTCGGAGTTGAGCAGCGCCAGCCGGCCCGTAAAGTACCTGGCCAGCCGGCCAAGGAAGGAAGGGGGAGGGGCGGGGCTCTAGCCGGCCCAGCGGGGAGCAAGGAGGTGGGGAGGGGCGAGAGGCGGCGGGACTGTTGCTGCGTGGCCGCCTCCCGCCCCGTTGCCCCGGAAGTGTCTAGGAAGTGTCCCGGCAGGAAGTGTCTCGGCAGTGCCTCGAAGTGTCTCGGAAGGGGCGGGAGCGCGCTTGTACGTGACGACCTCCGCCTTTGCGAAGTGCCGCCCCTCGACAGTCTGCCCGTCGAGCGCCTGACGGCGTGCAGCGGGGCGCGTGTCGCGGGGCGGCGTGGGGGGGAGGTGTGGGGAGGAGGCGTGGGGAGGAGGCGTGTTCGAGTGTCGCGGGAGAGGTGCTGGAGGCGTATGGGGAGGTGTGCTGGAAGTGTCTGAGGAGGCGGCGGAGAGGCGTGTCTTGGAGCAGCCGGGGGGCGTCGGTGAGGTTTCTGGGAGGTCTGGGTGAGGGATCGGTGCTGCGGCGGTGGCGCCTTCGGGAAGGCCGGGCCCTCGACCGCGCGAATCAGGTTCTGGCAGAGCCGCAAGTTGTTGATTGCAAAGTAGACGTGGAAGAGGGCGTTGATCACGACGAGCGCGCCTACTCGCGCACCCGCCTCCGCCCTCACCGCACCCCCTCCGTGGCCGGCCGCCAGCTTCTCCACAGCCACACTACCCCACTTCTTTGACACTGGCAGTGGAGCCCGGTCCGTCACGCAAACTTGGAAGAACTTTTGCATCGTGCGCGCCGCCTCCTGCTGCCGCACCGCCCGCTCCCCCTTGGCCACCAGCGCCGCGTCCGCCGCCGCCGCCGCCCGCCGCAGGTTGAGGCAGAGCGAGTGGAGCGCCGGCACCGGCCAGTCGCTCTCCTTCTCAAAGGCGGCCTGGAAGCAGGCGGCGGCGCGCTCGCAGTGGGAGTACGCCGCCTCGTGCTCGCCCGCCGCCGCCGCCTTGATGTAGTGCAGCTGCTCCAGCAGCAGCTCGTCCCACGGCTCAACGAGAGCGCGGCCGCAGATCTGCTCGAGAGGCGGAGACGAGTTGAGCTGTGCGATGAGCGCGGTGTTGCCCAGGTCGAGCCGCAGCGCCGCCGCGAGGCCCGCGCCGTCCTGCCGAGAGACGGCCTGCGAGATGGTCTGCGCCGCCTGCTGCGCGGTTGAGGGCACGCCGGACATAGCCAGGTTTGGGCAAAAATAAGAATTTTACCACGCACGGCACTAGGCAAGGTTGCAGCGAGAAGCGGCGAGAGACTGCGAAAAGAGATACGAGGAGGCAGACCCCCCAGGGTGGGCGACGGCTAGCGCATCACACCCTCCTCTCCTTAAAATCCCTGTGTGGTGGCGGCGTGCCGTTCTCCCATCCCTCCCTTGGGTTGTGTGTTTTCTTTCTTTCTTTTACGGCCTGTCTTACAAGATCCTGCTCGTGCAGGTGGGGACCCTGTCCTTCTCCCACCCCTCGTTTGGCGTGTACGTTGTATTTATTTATTTATACGGCCTGTTTGTTGGAGAGTGTGAACTCAAGCCTACTTCCTGACCGTAGCCTGACCGTCCTTGTGTAACCGTGTCTCATGTTTGGTTTGTCCTGCCGCGCACATTGTCATTGTTGGGTTTCTCCTGCCGCGCACATTGTCATCGACTTGTATCCGACTTGGTGGTTGTGGTGATGTATAGCGATGGTGTGGGTCTCTAGTGACCTATACAGCTCCTCCGTGTTCCGTCTCCTGACATGGTACCGACCGGTGAGTGCACGGAGTGAGCAGTGCGGCACTGAGGCCGACATGAGAGCTGGTGCGGCACACAAGCGAGATGTGTTGCCGCACAGCATTTCCGGCTTACGCTCGATACGTTGGCTGGCACCATGGGCACCTGCGCGAGCCGTGGTGATTGGCTGGGCACAGAGGCTCGGCGCACGGTGGCACAGCGGCCGCCAACTGCTTGGCTCGGAGGCTGAGCAGAATGAGAACAACCGCAACATCAACTTGTGTGCTTGCGGATCTTCTCGGCGAGCAGCAGGGAGGAGAAATGCCTGAGAGGGTGGGAGGGAGGCGTGAGGCGCAAGGTGAGGGGCGTGGGGGCGCGGGGCGCGGGGCGTGCGTGGGACGCGAGGCGTGAGGCGCAGGGCGTGGGGCGGGAGGGCGCGGGGCGCTCGAGTGAGGGCAGGGTGTGTTGTGTGTGTGTGTGAATGTGTGTGTGTGTTGTGTGTATGTGTGTGTTTGGTTTGTTTGTGCGAGGGCTGGGCGGGGCAAGGCAGGCGGCGGCGAGCGGCGAGCGGCGTCGGCGAGTTCGGCGACGAAGAGAGGCGATGGTGACGTACACGGCGGCAGCGTTCACGGCAGCAGCGCCGGTGGCGGCCCCGCGCGGCAGCGGCGGCGCCCTGAGTGAGGCAGACTGCCCTCCACAGCCTGCTGGGAATGCTCCCGACGAGCGGCGCGCCATGCGGGCCCGCCGCGGGCGACGCGGGCGGCGAGCCGACACGCGTGTCGCCGGCGTAGACAGCACTGGCGAAGCGAGGCGGCCGGCGCCGGCCCCGGAGGCGGCTGCAGTAAGAGCAGCGAGGCAGAAGTCACTGTCCAAGGCGTACTGAGCAGGCTGCCATCGAGCAGCGCGCCATGCGGGCCTGCCGCCGGCGACGAGATTGGAGAGCCGACAGGCATCGAAGGGGTAGGTACTGAGGAGGGCCATCGCGCCCGAGGCGGTCCGCGCCGGCCCTGCAGGCCGTCTCAGAGAGCCTGGCGAGGCTGTACAGAATGCCGAGAGCATACTGGGCAGGCTGCCGTCGAGCGACGAGCCATGCTGGCTCGTCGCAGGCGGTGAGGTCGAGGAGCCGATCGGAGCGCCGCAGAGGCTGCCGACCACTGCCGTTCGCCCTCGGGCCCAGGGGTGGAAGGCAAGCTTCCTGGCGTTTCTGGCGAGCGTCCAGACGTCGCAGAGCATCCGGCAGGCGCGTAGCGACCCAGATTTTTGCTCACCGCACGGCCGTGCGAGCCGTCGGTCGGTGGTGATGGTCGGCGTTGGCGCGCGCCGACCGACGCGGCGGCGGTGGGCGTCATGTGGCGGGCGTGGGAAAGAGCATTGTCCGAATTGCGGCGGACATGGTAGTCTCTCTTTTGTACGTACTTATAGCTTACTGGGAGAAAAGAGAGAGGGGGGGTTGTGTTCTCTATAGGCCCCTAAGGGCCCTACGCGCGGCGTGAGAGCTCGGAAGCGAGCTTTGCATGTTGTTGGCCAAGCAAGACACAGAGAGAGAGAGATTCTCTTCTAGACACAGTGCTCACACAAATCATGCGCCAGTAATATGAAGGTGAGTGCCTCACGCAACCCGCGAAACCTGGGTGGGAAGAGGTTAGTTAGGGCATGCACAGCAAAACTACGAGCATGGTAACGGGGGCTCGTTACGGGCCCGTACACTACGAGCTGGTAACGGGGCTCGTTACGGGCCCGTCCACGGCATGCTCGTAGTTTTGCTGTGTGCGCCGATGCCACCGACTGAAAAACAAAACAAACATTGCTAAAAATCATCTCTCTCTCCGACTGAACGTCTCTCGAGGGTGCGTTCGGTGTTATAGAGAACATGGGTCATGGCAGAAAAAGAATTTTTAAATTGATTTTCAATCCCCGTTGTACCCCGCCTGTGTGGTGGCGGCGTGCCGTCCTCCCCTCCCTCCCTTCATCTATGTTTTCTTTCTTTTCCTGTGTTAGTGCCAGTGCGCGCCAGTCCCGTGCCCAGTGTTGTGCGAGGGAGTTTGGTTGTAAAATTCTTTCTTTTCTTTGTACCCCGACAGTTGTACCCCGCTCGCAAGCAGCACTCCTCTGTGTGTAGTCCCCGGTGCCGGCCCGGTTTTGGTCCCGGTCCCGGTCCTGGTATATCGCATGTGCGTTGTTCGCGACACTCGGACGACTATGAACACCGATATTTCGATCCGAGAGACCCGAGCCGCGCCACGGCGCACGAGCATCCTCGAGAGCGTCAGGGCATCGGAGATCGGGGCGTTCTTTGACCCGACACAGACATCGGCAGAAAACGGTACCGCCTCGGTTCTATCCTCCACAATCAACCTATGCAACACGCTAATGGGGACTGGCATGCTTGCTATGCCGACGGTGAGCTCGAATCATGTCGCTTGCTTCACCGCCCACCCTGACGCTGCCCTCACCGCCGCCCGGCGCCGCTGCCAGGTGATTGCGGTATCGGGGTGGATTCCTGGGCTCGTGCTGCTTTTCCTAATGTGCTTCTGCAACATCTTCACGGTAGAGGTTGTGTTCCGACTGTGTCGCATCGCGGGCCCCCCGACGAGCCTCAGCGAGATCGGAGACAAGGCTGCCGCCCGCGGCTCCATTGTGATCGACCTGGCGGTTGCGCTCAACTGCATCGGAGTGGCGAGCTCCTACGTCATCATCTCGACGGGCAACTTCTATTACGTGAGCACTGCCACCACTCACCCCCGCCCACCGATTACGATTCGCCTCACGACCACATGCTACAGACCTTTGCACATGCTACAGACCTTTGGCGGTCCGCGCTCCGTGTGGGTGCTTGTGACCATTGCCATCGCGACGCCGCTCGCGTTCATCAAGGACATGGACTCGCTGAGGCACACCTCCTTCGCCGCCGTCGCCATCCTCCTATACATCGTCGTGCTCGTCGCCGTCTACGCGATTATCGGCACTTGCGACGGCGACAAGTCCAACGGCGAGTACTGCCCGCCTGGCGAGACCGCCGTGGCCACCGACTTTGTGGGGGCGCTCCGCTCGTTCGGTGAAATGGGAACACTTGGAGTGCGGTGAGTAGGGCGGCCAGCCCCAGACCGCGCGCCAACGAGTGCAATCTTAGGTGCCCTCGCCCTGGCCTTCGGTTGCCAATACAGCATCCCTCCCATCTACAACGAGATGGACACGCCGACGCCGGAGCGGTGCACCAAAGTGAACGGTATGGGCTTCGGGCTGGTCACCTCGCTCTACGTGACGGTCGCTGTGTGCGGCTACTACACCTTTGGTGATATCACACCGTCCAACATCATTGACGCCTATCCCAATAACGCGCCGGTCGCAGTGGCGCGAGTCGGACTCAGCTTAGTTGTCATCTTCTCGTATCCGATCATGGTGTTCGGTGTGCGCCTCCGCCACACACACCGTTCACTTCCTTGCGCGCCCCGCCTCCGCTAGGCCCCTGTCTGTGACCCCTGCGCCTGACCTCCCGTGCAGCCACGCGCAATGCGTTGGACTCTGTTCTGGCCACCTTTGGGCGCTGCTGCTGCCCCAACTTGGCCTGCCTTCAAGACCAGACAGAGTCCCCAGGCGAGTCCAAGGATTCCAGGGATGTGTCTCTTGTGTCGCGCCTGACCCTTAAGTCGGTGGCTATCCCGGAGGACCGCAACCGGCGCGACCTGCTCCCCCTGCGCACCTACTCGTGCGGCTCCAAGTTCGAGACGAAGCGCCGCCGTGTCGTGATCACCCTCAGCTTTATCGCCTTCACCACCCTGATTGGGCTGGTTCTGACTGACATCGGAATCGTCGTCGACCTAGTAGGATCCGTGTGCGGCTCCATGATCTCCTTCGCTTTCCCCTGCTGGGCCTACTACATGCTCTTCCCGGAGCAACGCAAATCGCCCTTCTCCATCATCGCCTCCGTCCTCTTCGTCTTGGGTCTCGTTCTGATCCCCCTCGGCGTCACGCTGACGGTCCTTTGAGGGTCGTTGAGGGGGGGGGGGGGGGGGGGCGCTCACCCTGAGCTCACTCAACTGAGTCGCAATGCCCGGCGCACCGGCCACCGCTGTACCTTCGCGGGGGGGGAACCAACTTCGGTATTCTCCCTCGCGCTGGACCCTATTCCCGGGCCGTTGGTTTCTGTCGCTGCGGTGCGATATGTATGTAACTATTTTGTTGTGTGTGCCTGTACTTATCTGTGTCGAATATACCTGTGGTGGTCTCGGTTGGTGTGCGCTGAAAAGGGCTGAATATTTTTGAATTTTCAGGTCAATGATCAAGGCGGGGGCCTGAATGAAAACTGACACGTGACACGATAAAAAAGACGTGTGTGCACCGAGGTAGAGTATGTATTGAGTATACTAGAGGTGGAGCCTCTGCGCGGGCTGCCTCCGCCCCCTTAAGGGGGCGGAGCCCTTGCGGTGAAGATATCTTTTTGCGAGAAATATGAACACTCCACAGGCCCGGTGCCGGGCCCCTCCCGATGGGGGCGGGGTGTATGCTTGTACTGCATGGTATGATGACTAAAATGCCTGTTTTTGCACAGTAGAAAATTCTTCTGCTCGGAAGCGGTGAAGCAGTGCGCGGCCAGAATGTGATTCCACGCCGGCCAGCACGTCCGCGGCGCTCGCACCGCCTCGACGTCCGTCGCCTCCTCCGCCGTCGGCTCGGTCGAGCCGCCCGCCGCCTCCCGTAGTCATACATAAACAAATAAAAACGGACACCTCTCTCCAGGAGATGGGTAAATTTACAGGGAAGAGGTCCCACCCGTGCGACTTTTGTGCACAGGGTTCTTTTCTCGTGATGCGGTGTGTGTCGGGGCGCGGGGGACGGAAATCCTTGAGCTTGACGAGTAGAGCCGAGCGGGAAGACCGGCGCGCGGCTCGCACTCCACGTGGTGAAGCGTGATCGCGTGTGTAGCGTGCGCCTGTGCGGCCGTGATGTGTGTGCATGCAGCAGAGCCGTAGAGTATACGTAGCTATATGATGACGCGTTCCGAAGATTTATGAGGCGCTGGTGGCGCTTCGCCCGCTGCTCGACGCGATGGCGCGAAATGACTCTTGGACCTCGAGCAGATCCTCCTTGACCGCCTTGTACCTCGTCGCCAGCGAGCCAGACACCATCACAAAGACGCTGCCCCCGACGGCGGTGGCGGAGAGGAGCGCGCGCCGCTCGACAGTGTTTGCGTTGTACGAGAGCGGCGCAAATTTGAGCGCCATGCGGCGGTACTGCTGCTTGCGCCCGTTGGGGAGGGTGAGCGCGGTGAGTGTGCAGGAAAGCACCTTTCGGTCCTCCACCTGCCCGTACTGGCCGTACTTGCCCGCCGGGTCGAAGAGGAGGTCGAGGAAGAAGTTGTCGGGAAGCGACTCGAACGCCTGACCGGCGGGCAGCGCGCCGACGAGGAGGAAAGCAGAGTCGGACTGCCGCACGTCCCTCACGTCGAGATTTGGGCCGCCCGCCAGCGTCCACGCGGCGGGAAACGCGAACGCGACCTGCAGAGCAAAACCAAACCAGCTGACGGTGACTAAAGCAGCACGACTCCTCACTTCCGCTGCGCGCCTCAGCGGTGCCACCGTCGGCCGTTCGCACAGTATCGAGCACGGCGCCCGGCTTGAACAGCGGGGAGGAGGACGTGTCGACCCGCTCGACGCCAGTCTCTGCACGCAGCTTGATGAGCGCGTTCAGTGGCCTGCCCGTCCCTGGCTTCAGGCCGCCGAGCGCAGCCGAGAGCTCCGCTGGATTCTCGCCAGGGTTGTAACCGGCGGCTACGACAGCACGCGAGTGCAGCGGCGATGAGAGTGCAGCGGCGATGAGCGGAAGCGCGTGGCGGCGGATGATCGGGTCTCTCGAGTGGCTCTTCATGTATACAGGTCAGCCGAATTTAAGATTTGAAGGCGGGGAGTCCGTTAGCCTTAAAATCTTGAAAATGTGTGAACGGACAGCTAAAATCTTGCGAAAATGCGCCCCAGAGCTCTAAAATCTTGGTCTAAAATCTGAAAATCGCCGGCCTGCGGCCGGCCTCTAAAATCTTAAATTCGGCGGACTTGTACATCGCAGAAAAAGAATTTCGCAACCAAAGGCTGTCGCACACGCACGATTCACACGACAGACAAGGATTTAAACCGCGGAACAACAGAAAAAGAAAAAAATGCTGTTGCCCGCTGAGTGCGCTTCTTAGCTCCTCGGCCCTGGATGTGAGGTTACCGACTGCACTCCAAGTGCTCCAAATTGCATAAAACCAGCATATACGCCCGAGGGCGACGGTCCCCCGGTAGTTAGTAGACGTTGGCGCCGAGGGAGGAGCAGTACTCGGACATGTTATTATGCTTGAGATTTCTCTTTTCTTGGATTACATGTACCTGTGTTAGTGCCAGTGCGCGCCAGTTCGCCTACGGCGAGGGCGGTCGAGTGCACGGAGCTTTAAGTGCCTCGCCGTCCTCGCAGGAGTCGCTTAGTTAGCCTTAGGCGGCTTCCGTGTGTACCTGTGTTAGTGCCAGTGGCTCCTCATGACCTCATCGCGAATCGAAATGCCGGGCTGTCTAATATGCCTACCGGTATATGCGGGGCATCTTCAAGCACCGCCCCCCTCGCACCTAGCCGCCCCCATTCTCGCAAGACGTGTGTGAGCATGAATGAGGGGGAGGGTGGTGGTACCGGAGAATCCCCAGCTGCGGATCTGTAGTGTCGCTCAAGAGGTGCGATACTGCGGGTTAGTGTAAGTTGCCTATATGGGCTTCCAGTATCAAACAAGATATATGCGCTAGGATGGTGCAGATTCCAGACGACCGTCCCACCTGTGTGGACGACGGGCCCACAGAAGCCGCAATGCCGACCCGACTGTCCTCCGCCCATCCCATGGCCTGCTACTGCTTCGACCTTTGTCCACGAACCAGCACAGCACGCTTTTGGGCGTCGACGCGAGGCGTCTCCATCCAGGACGCCCACAGCCCATGGACAGCCTATTTTGGCGCCGTGTATGGCGAGGAGGTGCCCCTCCCGTTCCCGCTCTCCAACATCACATTTTTCTACCACAACAGCATGCTGTGGCGCCAGCTCTTTCCCTCGGTGCACAATCCCTTTCGGTCTTGCGACACGCCCGTGCCTTCAGAACGGCATGTCACACCTCTGTGCGGCAAGCAAGAGTGCCGTCCTTGGATGGCGCCGTTGCGGGTGCCGGACCAGAGCAGCACGCCTGGCGCGTGGCGTGCCGAGAACCTCATCTCCGGGATGAGTATGAGTGAGAGGAAATCGTGGGGATGGCCCGGCTTTGCTGGCCTGGCGGGGTCGCGGCTCGCATCTCCACAGCTCTTCCAGACTTGGCGGAGGCACGGAGTGCCGACGGTCGACGGCTGGGTGGAGGTGACGCGTACCAATATCTTCAATCGGGGCATGTATCCAATCATGCTCGAGGAGGGCGTCGCTCCTGACGTGGCAAAAACGATTAATTTCATCAGCGGCGAGCGCGAGGGTCCAGGTGCTCACGGAGCCTACCCCAGCTGCTACTTCAACGCAGCCGTCGGCACCGGCATCTGGACCTACATCGGCCAGCCTCGAAATCACACTAGGATGAACCTGCGCGACAACCAGAACTGGGACGTGATTACGAGTTGGGAACCGTGCAGGAAGGCGCTCGTCGGCATTGGCACGTGCCCCCCGCGGGAGGTCATCCGTGCCGGCTGGCGCGCCAGCAGACCATGCCAATGCAACGAGAGCTGGAGCACTCTCAACTGCCATGGGCACGGCAAGACGTCCAGAGAAGTGCCCAGAGAAGTGCAGCGCGCCCGCTGGGGGCCGTGGTTTGATCCATTCCAAGTATGGCCGCTGTCGCATGCGGGCGATCGCCCGAACTCTCCATCAGCGAGTCTTCGCGCGTGGCCGGGGATGGAGCGACAGCTGGGGCTCGCCATGGAGACGCTCAACACGACCACTGCCGTATCAGCTGCGCAGCGGGCAACTTGGCTGCCGACGCCCGCTCCGTGCTCGCTCTACAACGCCGCTCAGAAAGGCCGCTCGCCGCGCCTGTGCACGGCCGCCTTCCACGGCACCTCTGTGCAGTATCTCCAGCTGGCGGCGCGCGATGAGCACGGCATCTGCGGGCGTCTTCGGGCGATCAATGACGGCTCGAACACCATGCGCAGCTTCGTCTTTGCCTTCGTCAGCGAGCCTGTGCAGCGGTTCCTCACGCAAGCGAGGCAGACCGCTCAGAGCAGGTGCCACGGCAGCACCTGCGTCACCAAACACGTCGCGGCAGCTATCAAGGACTTTGTGACGGGATGTGGTCGGAATGCGACCCACCAACCCCCGCAGGTGGCACTCCTCACCGCTGCCTTTTCCAACCGAGTGCTCCGTCGAAAGTGCACTGGGACGGGAGGGAAGAGTCACGCGTGCAAGACTGACGCCGCCGTGGACTTTGTTGGCCGGTTTGAGAGCTTTCACGCCGACTGGGGCAGAATCCGTCACTTTGTGAAGAATTGGCCGATGGTTGGGAAGATGCGACAAACTTCAACACCAATACAGACACCGCTGGAAGCGCCCCTCCACCTTGCCCTGTGCAGGACGATGATGCCCGATTATGCCTGCTTTGGCTCCACCGTCGCCACGGCATCGATGGAGAGCTCTGAGTCACCACTCGTGACCGTGCCTCGCACAGCGATCGTGTTGGAGGCTGATGCCTGCCACATCGCGCAGAAACCGTTGCACAGCTCTTCGATTTCTGCGGCCGGCAAAGGTCGCATCTGCTGCAGGTCGTCAGCAGGAGCAGACGCCTGCCGCTTCCGCGCGGTGCCTTGGTTGCGGCCAGGCTCCGTCTGAGGGCTAGCTTGGTTCTCGGAGTAAGCGGCGGCAGCGGTGGTTGAGCGCGTGGTGCGCCGCATCAGAGACCGCTTTTGGCTCGTCAGCGCTGCCTGTCTGTGTCGATGGCGCCGCGGCTGGCTGTAAAAAGCCCAAGCGACATAAAGAAAGAGGCCTCGGCTCTCAAAAGAGGAAGAGGGGAAGAAAAAAGAACATAGAGAGTATAAGGGGATTTTAAAAACAAGAACCGAAAAGAACAAGGAAAAGAAATCGAAAGTTTTTTGGCACTCCAATCTGACAGCATAAAGCGCCTGTTCACGGCATGGAGGGTGAGCCACACCGAACGTACCGAGCGAAGGGCCGAGCGGAAGGAGGACGGGGAAGATGACTCAGAGGAGGACGAACCAGTGGAAATTCAGTTGTCAGATGTCACGATGCACCCGAAGGGGACCCCAGCGCCGGCATCATCCGTAGAGGCACGAGTGTTCGAAGAGAGAGTGGACCTGAGCAACAACATGACGTGTAGGCAAATGATCGGAGTGGGAGTCAGAAATGTGGTCCTTGCGCGAGGGGAGCTCGATAGACTCGAGGGGCCGGAATACGCCGCGAGGAGGACGGAGTTGCGCAAGGCGAAAGAAGCCGCGAGAACAAGGGACCGGCAGGCGGCGGCGTCACAGGACGAGGCAGAAGAGAACGACGCGACAGAGGAGGAAGTGACAAGGGAGAGACCGACGAGAGTGGGACGGCCGCGAGGTGGCATGAAGGTTGCAGCCGGACTCAGGGCCGGTGCTTTGACGCAGTATATTGTACTTCGAGGTAGTATGAACTCAGAACGGCCCCCCGAGAGCGCCTCTTCGACGCCCACGGGTCCCAGGGGGTCGGAGGGGTTGCGAGAGGGCCTTGGCTATTTTTTGTTTGAATCCCGGAGGCCGTTCGAACATGTAACGTGCGTTCCACGTGCCCGTCCCCAGCAAGGACAACATGCTAGCCCAGCAGGCCGCTCCCACCGCCGCCCGCGGCGTAGGCAAGGCGGCAAAGGGTGGCAAGGGCGGCGGCAAGGGCGGTGGCAAGGGTTGTGGCCGTGTGGCGCACCAGACGCAGACCCACTTTGCGCCGCCGCCCTCAACGCCCGATACTCGGTTGAGCCGGCGGAGCGACGGCGGCAGAGTTGCGGCCGCTGGCGACCTCACACGGCGTCGAGCGCCGTAGAGACGGCCCCGAGAGCCGCCGCCAGGTGTGCCACGACCGCCGCCACGAGGCTCGTGGCGATGGATGCGCCAGACCCGCTTTGCGCCGCCGCCCTCAACGCCCGATACTCGATCAGAGCCGGCGGAGCGACGACGGCGGAGTTGCGGCCGCCGGCGACCTTCCCCTCGAGCACGCCGCCGACCCGTCGACAAGCACGTGCGGACTGCCATCGAGAAGAAGGAGACGGAGGGCGGCGCATCCGGCCCGCGGGCGCAGCGGGCGCGGGTCCGGGCGCGGGCGGGCGCGCGGGAACCCCGCCAGCGGAGGCGACAATGCCCCTGGCGGCTCTGCAGGCGGCGCGCGGCGCGCCCCTCGCCGGTCTCCCGCACGCTCCTGAGGGCCGAGAGGGCCGAGAGGCGGGGTCGGTGACCCGGGGGCATGGGCGGTGCGGCCCGCGCCGCGCGCGGGCGCGTGACAGCCCGTGAGTGCCGAGATCGGGTCCGTACTTCGACGTAGTATGGGCCCCCGGGGGCCATCTACAGCAGCGGCGAAGTGAGCGTGTTTGTGGTGTTGGTGTGGCGTCTGAGCTTGGATCTGTGACTAAAGCCGGTTACCACTGATGGATCCCCACCCGAATAACACACAGTGAGCGCCCCAGCGCTTCACTACGCCCTCCGCGCGAAATCGCTAGTGGTGCTTTGTGGTAGTATATTGTACTTTTGAGTAGTATGGGTACGGTTCCCGAGACCGCAGCGAGAAGCGGCGAGAGACTGCGAAAAGAGATACGAAGAGGCAGACTCCCCAGGGTGGGCGACGGCTAGCGCACCACACTCCTCTCCTTAAAATCCCTGTGTGGTGGCGGCGTGCCGTTCTCCCATCCCTCCCTTGGGTTGTGTCTGTGTTCTTTCTTTCTTTCTGACAGCTCGCCTGCCTTGCCCTGGCTTTGGTCTGTGCGCACGCCCGCCACCGGGCTTCAAGATATGCGTACCCCTGCGCAGCGGCTCGCTCACGTAAAGCAGCTCGCGGACGAGTGGCCCGCGGCGACCTTCGGCCGGCTCGAGGCCCTGCTCGACGCCCTCCTCGACGAGGCGAGCGCGCACGGAGAATTGTACTCTATCGCCCACATGCTGCGCCGCTTCCACTGGGGCATCGTCGGCA